AAAAAGAACAGTGCATAATTTAAAATTATAAATTATTTCTGGAATTTTCCATGTAATACTTTTGGTCTAAAATAACTACGAATTAAAACTATGAATCAGGGCCTAGAGCTTTATTTTATGTTTCATATAATATGAAACAGATAGTTAACAAATTGGGATTCAACAAAGTTTTAAAAATTTGCTAACTCAAAGAACATAAGGTGGTATATTTTATTGTTGCTCTAACAAATTAGCAACAACAGTGGATTAAAAAGATTTGAATTTACTATTTTATACTGTTAAGTCCAACAGGGCCTCACTCAAGATATGTCTGGACTGCGTGTGTTTATGAGGTTCTAGAGGAGGATCCTTTTCCTTGTTGACCGAATTCAACTAATAGTAGTTGCAGCACTGAGATACCTGTTCCCTTGCTAACTTAGTACTCAGGGCTCTTCACAAGCCTATTTTTCCTTAGCTCCTAAATCCCCATTCCCATCTTCAAAGCCAGCAAAAAGGCAGGCTTGGTCCCTCTCAAACTCCTTCCTCTTCCACCTCAGGTCTGAGGCAGGAAGACATAGTTTGAGATCAGCTAAATTACATACCAAGTTCAAGGCCAACCTGGATAATCTTGTCTCATAAAACAAAAATGTCACTTTTTTCCTTTCCCTCCTTGATGATCTACTTTTCTCCCTTCTTCCATTTTTAAACAATTATTTCATCCATTTCTGAGATACTGGGGATTGAACCTAGGGCCTTTGCAATGAACTACATACTCAGCACTTTTTGAGAAAACAGCCTTGCTAAATTACCCACTTTGGGCTCAAATTTGTAATCCTGCCTCAGCCTCTCTCAGTGCTGGATTTCACTGTAGCTGGATGCCCATGTGATTAGACCAGACTTACCTGTAAGAAACACATCTCAAGGCCTGCAACTTCAAATGCATTGGCAAAAATCCTTTCTGCCATGAAAGGGAACAAATATATTCATGGGTTCTGGTGATTAGGACGTGAGTGTCTCTGGGAGAGCCTCATGTTTCTTAACACAAGCTCTGAATTTAGCCACTCAAATGTTAGGAACTCTTTTTTTCTTTTCTCACTAGCTTCATCTTTATCCAATTCCTGTTCCCATCCTGCGTCAGAAGAGTGCTGCCAGCAAAACTCAGGCCCACATGCTTCCTTAGAACTATCAGAAAATTTCATCTTCCCAGGATTTCTAAGTAAATCTTAAACTATACTAATGAACTATTTTGACTAGGTATGTACATAAGTAAAACTATAAGCAAGGGGAGAGGACAAAGAATGGTTTAGACTATATAAGATGACCTACAATTATTAAGAAAACCACAGTATTCTACAGTCTATTCATTTGACTATTCTCGATATACTCTTTTTTCAACACATATATGTACTTCAAAAATGCTCATGCCCACAAAGCACTTAAATTTGCCTTGCAAGAAAGGAACCGTTCAAAAGTCCTAATTATTACATCTAACTACAGGTCCATGATATGGGTGATATGTCTTCATTTCTAACATATCTGGATACAAATTCATATAATCAACATTTATTTAGACAACCAATGGCCCCCAAAATACAGCAGAAAAAACATGACAGTTAAAGTAAGAAAATTTAAATGCAGTAAGAATGTCAAAGGATCAGTGTAATTGGTCCTCAGTACAAAGAATATTTTCATAAAAGCAAAAGAAGCATGCCTAGTGTGGTGGTGTATGCCTGTAATTCTAGCACTCAGGAGGCTGAGGCAGGAGGACTGCCAAAAGTTCAAGGCCAGCCTGGGCTCCGTTGTAGGTTCAAATCAGTCTGAACTGCATAGTGAAACCCTGTTTCAAAAAAAGAGGTAGAATTTCTTATCATAAAAATTCCAAAAGCTAGTAACCATAGCAAGAGAACTTTTTCAGACAATGATTGAGATGAAGAATTTCTGTCACTTGGCAACACTTATTTGAGACCCTCGGACCACACAAATGTGACTCTACAATGGCCTTGTCCTTTGGATTTCAATTTGAAACTGTTTCTTCACCCTACCCCTGCATTTAAAATGTTTTTTTCTTGTATAAATCTGAGTTTACCAGGAATAAGAATATATATGAAAGGAGTTATTTTGGAAAGATCAAAGACAATAAATTTGTGTTTTGTCATATCTTTTGCTAAGTCTTGTTCTTTTTAAACATATCCATACTAACTTGGGGAAAGATGAACTTTCTATTTCAAAGTAAAACTTGTGGAGCTGGATTTTTAAAGGAGGTCACCATCAGAAAAAATTTTTAAACTAAATTTGAATTTCCTATGAATTAACAAGTTATCTTAGGTCTAAGCAACAAATAGTCAAGTTATTCTGTGTATCCTAGTTTTAGATACTTTTCCAAAAACTTTACAGCCTCATGAAATGTGATCTGTGCGTGGAGATACAGATTACTACTTATCTCACATTTGGGAATAGCAGGTGCAGTATTTTACCTTGTCCCTCAATTAAATGTGTATTTTACAATTTCTTACCAACTATCCATTATCCTAGTACTAAATTCAGTTGCAGTATGGATACCAAAGACTTCAAATACAGAAATACATTCAACCTAGCTTAAATATAAGCTAACTTCTCATAACAAGAAGTTCAAAAATCAGGCAGTGTTTACCAAGATGAACCGATTCTGTGACTCTAGACTTTTATCAGGGACGCAGAATTTTTACCACCTTTCTTTGGTCTGCTGCTCTCAGGTACAAGGAGTCCTAGTCTTACTATCGTAGGAATGCTGCTTGCTAACAGGGACAACTGCTTCCTTGTTCATCTAAGACTGGTTTGTAGTTTCTGGAGATCTCAAACCAATCATTTCTCAATGTGGCATTGTTTCAAACTGGTTTGGTTCTGCCTACTCTTGGAACTAATCCGTTATGATAGGCAGTACCTTTGTTAAGGCACAGGTGGAAACAAAAAATAAAAGGAAAAATAAACAATGATTAACAGAAGAAAGCAGAAATGAAAAGAGAAAGTATTAATAACATTGCCTCAAGTTTTTATTTTTACCCTACTCCCTTAGATGAGGAAATCATGAGTTTATCAATTTGTGATCTCAGGAAAAGAAAGTAGGTTCAAAAGGACACCAGTCTTCTTATCTGTATTCTACTTAAGTAGGAAATAGACAAAAGCACATTAATAATCTAAACATCTATGTATTTAGCCATTCATTAAATATTTGAATGCTTATTGTATCACACGTTGTGCTTGATACTCTTATGATTTGTATGTAAATGTCTCTCAATGGTCTCATGAGTGGGGAAGGTAACTGCATATTAAGGTGTAGCACTTATCAGTGGATATCAATTTAAGAGCTTGGTAGCTGGGTGTGCTGTTAAAATATGAGGCTAAATAGAGGAATTAGAGAAGGAAAGAGGAGGAAGAGAAAGGGAATGGGATTTTTAAAAAATAAGCTGTGGTATGTATATATATATATATATATATCACAAAATGTAAACTGCATGTGTTGCAAGCATGTACAAAAAAAAAGGAATCCACCTGAACATTAAAAAAATGAGATTAAAGTATAACTTGACATTTAAGTATGCAGCATATTGCAAGACTCAGTTTTATATCATCAACACAAAAATAAGACAAAATTCACAGCATAATGAGAAACAAACCAATATACTGTAAGTTCTATAAAGTACTATGGAAAGGGAATTTTTGTATAATTTGAAGAAAACTTAAGAAAACAGTAACTATTTGTCACTTAGAATTTTAACATGCTTTGTATCATTCAGTAGTTGTTCTAACCTTTCTAATACTAACCAGTGAAAGTAACAAAGAACAGACTTTCAAATGGCCAAAAGAACCAAAGGCAAGAACAATGCCAGATATTCATTTTAAATCAAACTGATCCTTCAGCATGGCAGTGGCAACATACATACTATTCTTTCTATTCCAAAAAGTGGAGTTTTTAGAGAAAATATTACCACAATAATTTCAAATACTGCCCACCAATTTCAAATCTCCAAATTTATACCACAGGGGCAGCATGTTTGAGTAAAAAATGGCTGACTCTAAAACAAAACAGAAACACTAATAAGTTCCATGGGTCTATCAAGCTATACCTAAATTTGAAATTTAACTTAAATTGTGAAAGTTAAATTTGAAAGAACAAAATTTTGAAACTTAAATTTGAAAGAGCAAAACAGTAAAGTTTAGAAAACATGTATACTTATGAATACAAAATTCTTACAATAAGGACTTTGTGTATGGTCTTATTCTTTCTTATCAAAATAACAACTATGAAATGTACCTTTGGAAAAAGCTGAAGGAGTACTTTAAAAGTTATCAGAAATAGTAGTGTCAACCCAGAAAGCATGCTTTATTCCAACAGGTGGAAACAGCTAGATACAATCTTCACATATTAAAACATCAACTCAGCCTCTTTAAGAGTTGAGTCGAGAAAAAAATTTACTTTCTGATTATGTTAACTGCTGCTTTATGTTATCTAGGATATACACAGGATCTACAAAACTGTTTATTTATTTTGGTCTTTTTGAGACAGGGTCTTGCTCTGCAGTTCAGGCTGGCCTTGAGCTCACTTTGTAACCCAGCCTGGACTTGAACTTGCAGTGATCCTCCTGCCCAGCCTCCCAAGTGTTGGGATTACAGGTGTGTGCCACCACACCCCGCTAAAATTGTTATTTAATAAGTGTACTGATGCATGTTTCTGAAAAACCAAGACTAAAAAATTAGAAGAGGTTGTTAAAACTAATCAAATCTCATCACTTAAATACTACAAAAGGCTAAGTTAACATAAGACTCTACTTCCTTATTATTGCTTATTATGTAACTTCTACTTATTTTCTTAGTAATAAATAGGAATGCAGGGGCTGGGGATTTAGCTCAGTGGCACAAGTGCCTGCCGGGAAAGTGCAAGGTTGTGAGTTCAATCCCCAATAGCCTCCCTGCAAAGAAGAAAGAAACTAGCATGACTTCATAATGAAAACAAAACAAAATTTCTTTAAGTCATAGTAACTTACCTCTTAGTAGTAAAATTTTTTTCCAGTTCCTCATTGTGAACCAGTTTTGTATCCCCAAACTGCCACGATGATTGGAGATCACAGCTTACATCAAGCCTACACTGGTTAAGAGTGTCATGTATAAAACTATACTCTCTAGTATTGGTGCAACAAGGTGACAAGTAAACTAAGGAAAAAAGAAAGAAGTTACTTATGTTTAAAATTTCATTGTTGTCTGTATGACAACTATACATCGGATATGAATCACCTGAAGCTAACAACTGACATTGAAATTTCTACCACAACAATGTGAACCTCTGATACTTGACACACCTCGTTTTTTCCATCTTCCTACTGGAGTTCTTAGAGGTTGACATTTACAGATGTAACACAGCCCTAAAATTCAGGCTTTTCTTTTTTCTTGCCTTTTTGAGATAGGGTCTCACTATGCAGTTCAGGCTACTTTGAATTTTACTTTGTAGTACAGGGAGGCCTTGAACTTGCAGCAATCCTTTTGCCTCAGCCTCCTAAGTACTACGATTATAGGTGGTACTACCATGGCTGGCTAGGTTACTCATTTTCAATTTAAGTTGTACACTGATTCTACAATGTATACCATCATACACCTGGTATTACTGTTAGCACATGAATATTTCTTGTTATCGCTCAAGTAAAAAGGTAACCCCTATACCAGAAAACTACTTGGTTATTTTGATTTCCAAATATATCACATCTTTGCAGGCTGCTGGCTGATACAGCGGCATGCATAAGAAGAAACAGACCTTCTCAGGATAATGACTTGTGTTTTAAGTGTGGCTATATTACACAGATACACCAAAGGCTAAAATAACCTTCAGGAAGAGGACTCAACAAATCAGGAAGAAAATGCAGTTGATTCTTGTCATTTGTAGTAATCATAACTACAAACGGTGAATTAGTGTAGTGCTGAACTACTGTTCTCACAAAAAAGGATTTGGAGATTCCTGCAAGCATCAGTAAACTTTTAACAATGGAAATGCTATTAGGATAACATAGGTTTCTCTATCAACATCTTTGTCTCAACATTGTTGAAAACTTCCTCTTACATGCACTTTTTTTTTTTCCTATGTAACATTTAATGGTCATTTAAAAAATTCTTTCTCAAGTTCCTGATCTGAGGAATTTGCTTGCCTCTAGGTTTTATATTGTTTCAAACCTCCTTTTGGAATGTATGACTTAGCACTAGCCTAGTGAGTCAAACACTTTCCTAACATTGGGGAATGTGACCTTAAGTTCTGCCTACTTTACGGACTTATTTTGTGTCTTTCTGAGACAGAGTTTTGGTATGCAGTTCAAGCTGGCCTTGAACTGATTTTGTAGCCCAGGCTGGCCTCGAACTTGCAGTGATCCTCCTGTCTCAGCCTCCCGAGTACTAGGATGACAGGCATGCACCACCATGACCAGGTAAGTTCTGCCTACTTTTATCTTTACAAGAATGCTGCTCAATTTGTCTTTTTAGAAACTGTCATGCCACGAATCTACAAATTTAGATGCCTTTCCATTTTTCCATACCTTTACCAGGGACCAGAGATGTTACTTTAGCACTTCTCAGTGAGGTCTGATGTACAGACCAGCAAACTTCTTTTTCCTTTCTTCTGGATATATCACACCATTGACTCATTACCACTGAATTCAAGTTTGAGCAAAGCTTATCTAAAGCATCAATGTACCTATTTTCTATGTAAGGCACATCACAACATTCCTGAGCTTAGGAACATTAGGATTTACTTCAAATTTGGGGGGCATTTTAAATGAGTCCACTAACACAAATGTAAAACAAAACACTAAGACTACAGAAAGGACTTTGTTACAATGTAAGAGCTGAAACTAGGCTTCAGAGTATCACCTCATATGATCTTAGCTGGGAATGTAGGTACTGGGGAACTCAAAAATTTTGGCTGCTTTTCAGCTGTCAATGAAAGAAATGTTGAGTATAGATTTTGGGCTTACAAATAAAAAAGCACTGCAGAACACTGACAAAATTTTATCAAAGAGAACTTCGGAATCCTCAAACTGACATATATACAAGGTGCAAGGCAATTTTCATGTATATGGAATTTAATAGTATGTATATGATTTAATTATTACTTTAGCCAAAACAGTAAGTTAAAACAATGATTAAATACAATATAAAATACAATAACCAGCTGATTTTTAAAAAGAACTTTATCTTCCCATTTTTTACTTATTGTTGAACTCAAATACAATTTTTATTTTAGTCTTTGTTAACTGTTATAAATTTTGACATGAATGTTTTATAACATGTTTTTGTGGAGAAATGTGTCTTCCTCTATTTTGAAATGAATAGATTTACAATAAATTGTAAAAATAGAATGCCCCTAACTCAGTTTCCCCTCACTAGAGACATCTTTATGTGACTATAAACAATATTGAAACAAGGAAAATGACATCATTACCATCTACTTAACTTTTCATTTGTACTTGTTTCTTATTTGTGCGCACCGTTATGCAATTTTATCACACGTGCATACTCATACAAAAAAGCACTATATGATACAGAACTATTTGATGATCACCAAGATGTTAAACTCCTCTCTCTCTCTCCCTCTCTCTCTCTTTCAGATTTATCCCCCTTTCTATCCTTTCCCTAAATTCTGGAAATTAGTAATCTAATTAGTAATTACTAAAGACATACTTCCATTATTTCAAGAATGTTTCATAACTATAGTTTTTTTGTATGTAACCTGTGAAGACCTTTTTTCTTAAACTCAGCATACAATGTCCCTAAGAACCAACCAAGTTGTATTTGTTAGATCATTTCTTTTTATTATGTAGTATTCATTCTTTCAATGCAAATGTTTAACAATTCACTCATTTGAAATTTGGGCAGTTGTCAATTTTTAGCTATTATAAAACTAAAACTGCAGTAATTCAATGTACAGCCTTCTGTGTACACGTTTTCGTTTCTCAAGGATAAATGCCCAAAGCTGGGTCATTCTCAAGGATAAATGCCCAAAGCAGATTCAATCTGTAAAGAAACTATCCACATTTTCACAGTGATTTTGCTATCTTGATGTCCCTGCTGACAACTTATGAATGATTTCATTTTTCTTCATCCTCATCAAAGTATTGTCATGTTTTCTTTTCTCTTTTTTCCAGCTGTTCTTAGGAGTAGTTACACTGAAAAGGCAAAACTGCATAACAAAAATTTTTTTCAAAACTTTGTTCCTTTTGAAACTGCCTAGCTCTGTAATTGTTTACTTTCTCACTTTTTCAATCCCTATAACCAAACATGCAGGATGCCTGATTTTAACAGGCTCCATGATTATTAATCTAGTATTGTAACCAATGATCTTGTCCTGCAAATTAATCAGAGAAGCGCCAGGCTGTTCTGTCTTGCCTTTGCACCTTGGCTTATGCATTACATAAATGTAACTAGGCCAGTAGTATGTGCTGTCTGGCTTTGTTGATGGAGAGATCCTGGCCAGGACCACAGGGGTAAAATAAAGCTGTTCACTGCCTCCAAATCCTGGGTGGTGTTTGATGTTTCTGCTTGCCGTGGCAACACACTACAGTTTCCTTATGTACTTCTTTAACGACTAGGATGCTAAATATCTTTTAAATAGTCATCTGTGTCATTCCTTTGGTGAAAATCTGTTCATACGTTTTTCTGTCTATTAATTTAACTTTTCCTACAGATTTTTCAAAGCACTTTATTTATATGTCATGACTTCTTTGTCAGATATGTGATATGCAAATTTTTCTACCACTTTTTAGCTCGTATTTGTAACTTTCTACCAAGGTTTTTCACAGAGTAAAACTTTCTTTTTGACAAAGCCAATTTATTGTGTGTCTGTGCGTGTTTTCTTTTACAGACTGTGCTTTTGGTATCTAAGAACTCTTCAAGCTAAGATCCTGAAGATACTGTCTCTAGTGTTGTACATTCTCACATGTAAACCCAGGAGTTAGTCTGGATTACTTTTCATGTCAGATTAGGGTGAAATTTTTCCTTTTTTGTCTATTGTGTCCAAATGCTCCAGCAATATTTGATTGTTGAAATAAATTGAAAGAAAATAAAATTCAGTACATTTATATGGCTCCATGTCTAGAATCTCTATCCATTCCATTAACCTATCAGTCTGCCCCTCTGTTAGTATCACAGATACTAATTACTATAGATATACAATAAAACTTCAATCAAACTCTTCCACATATTTTCTACTTCAAAGCTTTTAGCTATTTTCATTTGCCTAAAGTAAGTGTGAGAAACAGCTCATATATTTACAAGACCTGAGAATTTGATAGGACTAGCAATAAAGCTACAGATAAATCTGTGGTGAACTAACAGCTTCAATATATTCAACATACTGAACACAATGTATCTCTCCATTTACTAAAATTTTCCTTCATCCATATATTATAATAAAGTCAGAAGCATAAAACTCATGTTTTGTCAGATTTACGCCTCAGGTATATTATTTGTGAGCTACTATAAGTTATACTGCTTTTCATGTATTATTTGCTAGGATAGTTTTTATTTTGATTTTGTATCTAGTGACTTTGCTAAACTTAAAAAGTCTTCCCTATATATTTCTTACAGATTCCTTGGGATTCTGTAGGTATAAATATCTACAAACAGGGACAATTTTACTACTTTCTTATCTATTCATTTCTTTCTTTGACTTTTTCTGCTCATTAAAGCTTCCAGCATCTTCAGTAAGAATGGTGAAAAAAAAAAAAAAAAAAAGGACAGTTACAAAGATGTGTGGCCAGCTGTCCCAGGTTTTTGGGAAACTGAGACAGAAGAACTGCTTAATCCCATCACTGCTAAGGCCAACCTGGTCAACCCAGCAATACTCTTGTCTTTAAAAAGGGAACTAGGGAGTCTGAAGAGAATATTAATTGCCCAGTTTTAGCATCTAATTCACTCTACAGATTGCCAAATTTGATTTGCTTATATTTTGCTAGGATATCTGCATTAATAATCATAATCTGATATTCTTTCTATGCCTGGTTTAGACATGTTCAGGGAAATGTTGAACATAAAATGTTCTCTTCATTTTCTAAAAGAAAATGTATAGAATTTGCATACTTGAAACATTTAGAATTCTCCAGTAAAGCTGTTTGGGCCTGGAAATTCCTTTTTCCAACAGTGAGCTTAATTTCTTTAACAGTGTAAGTTTACTT